TGTTAAAATATGCCTAACTCAGAGTTTAAATTTCAACTCTGCGATTCGAACCTGGATTAACTTCTTAACTCATGGTTAAAATGCTGATTTTTACCTTTGTAACGCCCCAGCCCGAAAAACAAAAAGAACGCGAACACGACGTACGCATTTTTTCGACACCTTGCCTGTTAACTCACAAATATGTTTATCGACGTTGAATATGAAAAAGATACACCCTCACCAGTACCCCTTGTCGATTGTTAAAGCGGGGCCTACCCCCACATTTTAACGAACAATGTACATATAGGGTTTCAATGGGCCCCATGTTTCTCTATCCCTTGAACGACGGGACGGGGTAAGATGTTTGCATAAGTAATCTGCATAATTATACATAAGAAAACAACTGACTTTGATTTATTTATAGGGTTAGTCCGACCTCATCCGGTATCATCTTTAGACTTTGAAGATTACGTTTCTACGAGGGTTAGTTTAGCTCCTAAGGATACTAATAACTTAGAGGCTAATTAGTTTATCTAGTTACTGCCCGTGTTGCGAATCATCCGCTTAATTTTGTTTGTAACCATATTTATTTACGTTTGGTTGTTCGCTGACGACCCCGGTGAGCCTATAGATGCGGTACCAACACTGGATTTATTCCATTCTACATTCGTTCAGTGATTACGATATTCGTTACTTGTAACAAATTCCTCGGTAGCTGCAACTGTTAGAGCGCCATGCTAATACTCAGCTGAACGTCGCCGGTTCGATTCGCCGAGTGCGGCTAAAAAAATTATTATTCCTTGTTTATTATTTACCCGGCTGCGGGTATATAAGATTTACTCAATAACAATAATAAATAAGTCTGTCTCATACATGCGGTTTCTGTGCCACGTCTGTTGTAATTATTGTTGTTAGCTTCGATTGTCAGCACACTCTTGTTAAACTCCATAAAAGTCTCCACTAGCAGTGCTTTATTCTGAACTAGAAAAATTTGCTGATTGCTTCTTCATTCCTAACACTTGCTTGAGTTTAGCTTTGGTTCTTATGCTGCTGGCGTTCTGTTCTGATTGTTATTATTATTGGAAAATTATGGATACTAACTCTGAGTTAAAATATTTAACACTCTGAGTTACTTAACTAGGTTTAAAACATGTTATGAAACCCAAATTTAACTCGGAGTTTTACCCTAACTGCAGAGCTTAGTGAATTTAACTCAGAGTTAACCTTAACTAGGGTTTAAAAGTTAATTCACGATGCTGCAACCGGGTCCAGAAGTTGTTACCCCTACCCTAAAACTTAACCTTAACCCTAACACTAACCCTAACCCTAACTCTAACTCTAACCTAAACCCTTAACACCTTAACCATACGCTCATATAATTAAAATAATACTAAACAACCTAAAACTACCTCGGGTACATATCTGTAGTACCGCAGGCAAGTGATGCAGCAGGCAAGTGATACAGCAGGCAAGTGATGCAGCAGGCAAGTGATGCAGCAGGCAAGTGATGCAGCAGGCAAGTGATACGCAGGCAAGTGATGCAGCAGGCAAGTGATACAGCAGGCAAGTGATGGAGCAGGCAAGTAACATAGCAGGCAAGTGAAGTGATACATCAGGCAAGTGACGGAGCAGGCAAGTGATGCAGCAGGCAAGTGATACAGCAGGCAAGTGATGCAGCAGGCAAGTGATACAGCAGGCAAGTGATGCAGCAGGCAAGTAACATAGCAGGCAAGTTATGCAGCAAGCAAGTGATGCAGCAGGCAAGTAACATAGCAGGCAAGTGAAGTGATACATCAGGCAAGTTACGGAGCAGGCAAGTGATGCAGCAGGCAAGTAACATAGCAGGCAAGTTATACAGCAGACAAATGATACAGCAGGCAAGTGATACAGCGGGCAAGTAACAGAGCAGGCAAGTGTTACAGCAGGCAAGTGATACAACAGGCAATTAGTCCAGCATGCGAGTAGTGCAGCATATCATTGTGATAGACGAAGTGGTCTGTCTGTGGATATTACCGGGAAATATATGATGTGAAAATAACGATGTGTAAAATAACATGAAAATTCTGCACACTATGTCGGAGTGATTTCGGCCAATGAAATACCTGTAATGATTTTTTTCACGCGCAATTATATTACTAGTTAATCGTAACAAGCGTTGGTAATTTGAACGGCGTGCGTAAACTGTGAGAAACGTCGATTTTACCTCCGATATCAGATTTAATACCCACATTAATAGTAAAATTATTTGACATTCATGCGTAGTAAATCTCCTCGTTATGTGAAATCTCTCGTGAAAACCGCGTTCGAAACGAGCTTATCGTGCATGATTGCTTTTAAATATGATCCCTATTCTAAAAAATGCACAAATGGGAGGGAATTAGAGATAAAGGAATGTGAAGTCATGGGGTAAAATTTTGAGTTAGTGTGTATAGTTGTCAACGAACATCATACCGCGTTCATATAGCCCTATCATTATGTGACAGCCTGAAAAGTTGAAAACACGTGCGATACACCACGGATGAAATGAACACGAAAGCGAAATTTCTACAGCAAAAATCCGCAAAACGGAAATGAAATAATATAACGTTTCCGCGCTACGACGCTCTCAAATTTAATTAAATGTAGCAGGAGACGAATGTAGAAAACTAATTTTACGGGAATATCGTGTAGAGTCGTGTGATGCAAATATTGAACCATTCTTCACTTGTACTTCATCGCCTCGCATGCAGACATGTCACGTTTCGTGCCATCGACAATGTTCGAAGATGTTCGAAGTACGCAGTGATCGAGGTATTATTAGCGACGTATCAACATGACTTTATTGCACGTCTCTGGCTGATAGAATGGCTATGTTACTACCCATTTTCAGAGATTTGACATTCAGCTATATACGCCTACATTGATCCCAACCCAAATTTAACAAGCGTGCACTTTGCCAACGTTTCTGGAAAGTGTGTTGAGACATAATTATGATGATAATAATGAGGACGATGATGATGATGATGATTATGATAATAGTGACAATGATGATAATAATAATAATAATAATAATAATAATAATAATAATAATAAGATGTCCTGGGTATGACTTTAAACTGCATCCGGTTGTGGAGTCTCAACGTGGGAGAATGAGGTTACCCTTTGCCACAACTACCTCCAGGTCACCCTGGAGCAAGGTGTAGTACCTGTTAGCTCTTCCCGAGACCTTGAAGTATCGAGTTGGCGTCCGACGAGGGCAAGTCTGTCTCTTGGGTAAGAGGGACTCTTTAGCCTTGAGCGGCAACCCCCTCGATAAAAATGCCGCTCTCGGGAGAAGCAAACTCCCGATGACTGCGACATTATGGCCCACGGACGTATGGACGTGCCCTGATGTCCAGGAATGTTTGCCCTAACTATGGGTCAAATAGTAAATATCATACCATGATGAATAAGCCAATACGAAAGTCATACCGCATCGTTCGTCGCGCGGGTTAACAAGGATCGCGTCCCTCAGTGATCGCCAAACAAGCTGAGGTCGAAAAATTGGTTATTGAATCGTCAAACCTTAACAGCCAAGCTTCAGATAGCAACCAGACCGAGGTCCAATCTCAAGTTGGCCTAACGCAAGCAGCACCAACACCGCAGGCACAGTCCACCAACGCAGAAATAACCAAGAGAAAAACAAAAAACTAGTAGACAAAGGATCAATACAAGGATGTGATGTGGTCCTATTATTTCGCCCAAGAAAACAACACTGATGGCGGGGTAGTAAAAGGTACATACATGATCTGGCGAGGCAGGAATCCAAACATCTTTCCAGCCACCAACTCAAGGAAGTTGGCACAGACCACAATACCAACGCCACTTAAATCAAACAAGAGGAGGAAGCATTCCAGAATGTAGCAATGGATGTATGGACTGACATTACAATGTGTGAGGTACAGCAGGCCATCAAGCGGACCCACAACTGAAAATCTCCTGGCCCAGACAAGCTGCACAACTAATAAACAACTTGCTCTCCATAAACAACTAACCAGAGTCTTGAATGACACCATCAAGGATCCAAGCAATAGCCCTAAGTGGTTAACATCAGGAATCACTTTCCTTCTTTCAAAAGGCAAGGATACAAAAGAACCAAAGAACTATCGACCAATCACTTGCCTGCCTTCCACCTACAAGATCGAAATTAGGAGGATGTGGAATACTAAGACGAAAATTGTACCAGTGGTGGTTGGAGCCCTTGGCTCTATAAAGAATGGTTTTCAGGAAAACCTTAATGAACTCCCTGGCCACCACACTGCCCAAGAAGTGCAGAAAACTGGAAACAGCACACATCCTGCGGAAAATTCTGGATTGAATCTCTATGTCCCAGGTTGGGACACGGTCAACCCACCGGCTATTGCCGTGATCTACTTTGGAAATAATAATAATAATAATAATAATAATAATAATAATAACAATTAGCTTGGTGTTCTATAATTATTTTGTTCATATATGATGAGGATGCGGCAGCAGCCCAACCACTGCAGACATGACGAGGACAGCACACTAATCACACAACAGCAGAAGACAATATTATACGCAATAGATACAATTGCTCACGTCGTGTCTATGCCCCGGACAGTAGGCACTATAGGTGAAGGGAGCGCCAACTAGCAGTAGATTCGTATTAGCTGTCCTATAATGTATTGCAGGAGTGCACCTCAAAGATATTTAGACAGAGATGAGCTGCACTCTGGGTTTCGATAGAGAAGTTACACAATGAGCTTCCACGAATTAGGTACACGATAGGCTTAGCTATAGATGAGCAACATATGGTTGCTACGAGCCGTGGGGGAAGATGTTTTAGAGACACGCTACACACGCACACGCCCATACATACACGCACACTTACTAACCCACGTAAGCACGTGCGCAAGCACGTAATCACGTCATACAAACGCGCACACCCACGCGCACACAACACACACGCGAGAGCATATAGACAAAAGCGCGCGCGCACGCTTGCACGCACGAAAGTACGCACGCGCGCACACACTTACCAGTGAAAAGAATCCAAAATAGTAGGACATGCGGTAGACGGGCGATGATACCACCTGTCGCGTAGTAACTATGCATGTTAACGGTCGTCGTCGGCGGCTGCAGCGTTCAATTCCACATCATCGTGAGCAAACGTTCGGCTGCCATGAATGGCCGTCTCAAGTTACTATATTACGTAACAGTTATCCGCGAGCGCCATTACGTGCACGGGGATGTCGCGCCACAATGCGTGCGATATGCCAGCGATCAATTCGGCTCACACCCACACAAAACACACACGGACGCACGCATACATGTAACACGCCGATATACTCTCTCAGCGTGTCCAGCCGGAGAAGTGAGCAGCTTCGCGAGAGCGCTTGCACACTTAAACTGCAGCATTCGAGCATCGGTCGCCGCCGCCAGGGGGTGCTGTTGAGATTCACGGCGTCGCGGGCTTGAACAGCGTCAGCGTAAGCACTGCGTCATTAAGAGCGTCACCGCGCCTGGGGAACATGACGGAGTAGACTGCTTGCTAGGTCTCTATAGGCAGCAGCTTGCATGCATTATGTAGTAGTGTAAGACCTGTATATGTTCAAGCGCATTTTCTTCAACAAGCAGCCTGACTGCTGAGCAGTAGAAAATGACGCGCCTCATACTGCGCAACGACTGCTGTGAAAATCGGTACTCTCACTTCCTTCTTGCCTATCTATCTATCTAATCTATCTATTTCTATACTATCTATCTACTATCTATATCTATCTAATCTATCTATCTCTATCTATCTATCTATCTTATCTATCTATCTATCTATCTATCTATCTATCTATCTATCTATCTATCTATCATCTATTCTATCTATTCTATCTATCTATCTATCTATCTATCTATCTATCTATCTATCTATCTATCTATCTATCTATCTATCTATCTATCTTATCTATCTATCTATCTTATCTATCTATCTATCTATCTATCTATCTATCTATCTATCTATCTCTATCTATCTATCTATCTATCATATCTATCTATCTATCTATCTAATCTATCTATCTATCTATCTATGATCTATCTATCATCTATCTATCTATCTATTCGTATCTATCTATCTATCTATCTAATCTATCTATCTATCTATTATCTATCTATCTATCTATCTATCTATCTATCTATCTATCTATCTATCTATCTATCTATCTATCTATCTCATCTATCTATCTATCTATATCTATCTATCTAATCTATCTATCTATCTATCTATCTATCTATCTATTATCTATATCTATCTCTCTATCTATCTATTTTTCTATCGTTCTATCTATCTATCCTATTTATCTATCTATCCATCTATCTATTATTTACTTACTATCTAATCTTATCTATCTTCTATCTATCTATCTATCTATCAATCTATCAGTATACTATATATATATCTATCTAGTTACCTATCTATCTACCTAGCCTATCCTACCCTACCTACCTACCTACCTCTACTACCTTACCTACCCTACTAACCTACCTACCTACCTAGCCCTACCTACCTACCTACCTAGCTACTACCTACCTATCCTACTACCTTACCTACTTACCTACCTAGCCTACCTACCTACCTACTCTACCTATCCTACCTACCTACCTACCTACCTACTATCCTACCTAGCCTACTAGCCTACCTACTCTACCTACCTACCTACCTACCTTACCTACCTAGCCTGTACCTACCATACTACCTACTACCTACCTACCTACCTACCTATCACCTACTATTACCTACCTACTCTACCTATCCTACCTAGCCTACCTACCTACTACCGTACCTACCCTACCTACCTACCTACCTTACCTACTACGCTACCTACCTACTACCTACCTACCTACCTGCCTAGTCACTACCTACCTCCTACCCTACTCTACCTACCTACGCTATACTACTACCACTAGCCACCTACCTACCAGCCTATCCTACTAACCTACCTACCTACCTACCTACCTACCTGACGCTAGCCTACCAGCCTACCTACCTACGTCCTACCTCTCTACCTACCTTACCCTACCACTACCTACCTTACCTACCTACCACCTACCTAGCCTACTACCCTACCTAGCCTACTACCTACTACCTACCTACCTACCTACCTACTACCTACCTACCTACCTACCTACCTACCTACCTAACCTACCTACCACTACCTATCCTACCTACCCTACCTTACCTACCCTACCTACCTACCTACCTACCTACCTACCTACCTACCTACTCTACCTACCCTACCTACCTACCTACCTACCTACCTACCTACCTACCTACTACCTACCTGACCTAGCCTACCTACCTACCTACCTACCTACCACCTACTATCCTACCTACCTCCTACCATACCTATCCTACCTACCTCTACCTCCTACCTACTGCTACCTACCGACCTACCTCCTACCTACCTAGCCTTACTAACCTTACTTACCTACCTACCTACCTAGCCTTACCTCCTATCCTACATACTATATATGTTTATCTATCTATCTATCTGTCTATACTATCTTATCCTACTCTATCTATCTATCTATCTCATCTATCTATCTTATCTATCTAGCTATCGTATCTATCTATCTATCTATCTATTCTATCTCATCTATCTATCTATCTATCTATCTATTCATCTATCTATCTATCTATCTATCTATCTATCTAATCCATCTATCTATCTATCTATCTATCTATCTGTTTGTCTTAATCTATCTATCTATCGTATCATATCTATCTATCTATCTATCTATCTATCTATCTATTCTATCTATCTATCTATTCTATCTATCGCATCTATCTAATCTATCTATTATATATGTTATATATATTATATATATATATCTCCATTCATCCATCCGATCCATCTATCCGTCCTCCGTCGTCCGTCGTCGCTCCGTCGTCCGTCCGTCCGTCTCGTCCGTCTGTCCGTCCGTCCGTCCCGTTCGTCTCGTCCGTCCGTCCTGTCGTCCGTCCGTCCGTCCGTCCGTCCGTCGTCCGTCGTCCGTTCATCCGTCCATCCATCCATGCTCATCCCCATCCATCCATCCATCCATCGCATCCATCATCCATCATCATCCATAGTCCATCCATCCATCCAACTCATCATCCGATCCATCATCAGCCATCCATCCATCCACCATCCATCCATCCATCCATCCATCCATCCATCCATCCATCCATCATCAATCCATCCATCCATCCATCCATCTATCCATCCATCCTATCCCAATCCATCCAGTCCATCCATCCATCCATCCATCCATCCATCCATCCATCCATCCATCCATCCATCCATCATCATCCATCCAATCTACCACCCATCCATCCATCCATCAATCCATCCATCCATCCATCAATCCATCCATCCATCCATCAATCCATCTATCCAGCCATCTATCTATCCATCTATCCTTCTATCCAGTCATCCATCCATCTATCATCCATCCACCCTCCATTCATTTATCCATTTATTCATCCATCTAACCGTGTGTGCGTGCGTGCGTGTGCGTGCGTGCGTATATGTGTGGGTATGTCTGTGTGTGCATACGAAGGGGCCAATGCGTCCGTGCTATCTACATTCCCACAGCGCGACTGGTAATTATTTCAAAGTTGGAATTATAATGTCATGTATAATGGAACATACTCAGGCGACTCGCAGCGCAGTAATCGTGCAGTGCAATCACTCTTGACGTCCTAGCGGACACGGAGATGGAGGGGCTAACGGGACGTGTTGAAATGCAGCGTAAAATGGCAAAACGACGAAATCATTTTATGTCAACCAATGGCACTACATGCTAGGCGACTATGACATCCCATGGCGCACGCTCGGATTTTTATTTTACTTATATTAATGCTGAAATAGAGAAACCAGTAAAACCGCGATAAATAAGAATAATATTCTGTCTATATTCTTCTCAATATATATATATACTCATATAAATATTTTTATATACTATCTTATACATAATAAAAGCTCAATGCCATTCGTAGCTTCGAAGCCGACAATTCGTGCCATGTATGTGGCAGCACCTTAACTTCCCGCGCTGCGACAGTGAAACGACGTGCCGCGCTGTCGCGACATGGCGCATTCGATAGAAGGCTGAGTAAGCTATATAGGCTACATTATTTATAACGCTTCGCAAAGACGCCAGGCTACTAATGCCACAGCTGGTTTCGGGTATGATATCATCATTGTCATAATATAGATATCATCTATTCATGTCTCTACGAGTTGTCTACACGCAGGCACACGCCCTCGCGCGCGCACGCACGCACGCACGCACGCACGCACGCATGCACGCACGCATGCACGCACGCACGCGCGCGCACACACACACACATGCGCGCGCGCACCCGCACACCCGCACACACGCACACGTACACGTACACGCACCCGTACACGTACACGCACCCGCACACATATACGCGTGTACACGGTCGCGAGGCAGCGAGCTCATCCAGGGTACAATTCCCATACCCGCCAGGCACACTTCACACTTAATTTACTGACGGCAACAGCACGCATAAGATTGTACATAATATAATACACTCATATAGAAAAAAAAACGTTAACGGATATTCATCCATAACAGGACATAAGCAACACAGGATCCATGTATTCACTCATCCTATATCTTGTAGGCATGCATGATGCAGTTGGCAGCTTTGATATATCACTAGAATATGACGCAAGAATGCGAGAATATGAGCGAGAATGAATTAACGCATATTTATTCCCAAAAACCTAAATTTTCGATCATCCGGTCTTGATAACTGTTTACGTACACTCACGTACGTGTACGTTCAGATCACGTGCTAAGTTTATACGCAAACTGTGGTGAAGACTGGATGATCGATAATTCAATTCTTTGGGATAAATATACACAGGTTAATTGAATCTTGCTATATATTCTGAATATTAATACCGAGAAGTTTTATACTACCACCTCCTTTATTCTTCTGCTACACAATTGGTTTGCTGGAGCCACTACCCGGCATATTGTATTGGCTTCGTGGCGAAATCCGTAAATGTCAACGTTGGTCCGCGCGTCTTATGCTATAGCTGTAGAGAGTCGTGACGAGTGAACGCCCCGTATCTACGCGACTCGTCGGCGAAGCAGGGTATACGTGCCAGCCTCCTTTATCAGAGTTGCTGCAGTATAGACAGTTTCATCAATACATAGAAAATGTCAGCGTTTCGTTAAAACTCCCGTACGACTCAATAACGACATACGCGTTAGTAAGGAAGACGCATCTTATCTCTTGAATATTGACTATTATGGATATTTATTATCATTGTGGAC